CATGAGCCCCCCAAAGCCCTGAGGCTGCTGCAGGAGTAGTGAGTCCTGGCATTTGTTTTGTTTTTTTTCTTAAAGGGCCCAAGCCGCAGTGGGTGGAGCAGCCATGGGGGGGGGCATTGGGGGGCTCATGCCCCCCCCGTCTGGCAGCACCTGGTGAGTGGGGCTTTTCTTTAAAACACCAGGAGCGGGGACAGGTTGGGAAACCATGGGGGGGCAGGGATGACCAACCAAAAAATTAGCCAACCTTAATTTAAAAAAAAAAAGTGACAAACATGAGCAAGGTTGTTCCCTGAGGAACAAACTCCACCCATGCAAAAATCAGCTACTCTGATATTAGTTACTAGCATTAGATAGTCAGGATGAATTCATAACTTGCCAGCAATCTGAGGAACAGGACATTTAAATGAGCAAGTAATGAGACGCGACTCAGAAGCAAAAACTTGTATTAACTCATTCTATTGCCGCAGGGGATAATGCCCCTGTAGGACACTCTCCTGCTTTATCCCAACTGGTTTAAAACGCACAAAAAAAAAAAAAGCCCTCAAGTCCCAGGGCTGGCACCACCTCCCAGAAGCAGCAGTTCCATAGCTGGATTAAACCCACTGACATTTTGCTGCCATGTCTAATTGCAAAGTCATATGGAGTTAGTCAATATTATTGTTTCATAGGAATCTTCCCTCCCACTGAAGGATCTGTATGAGTCCCCTACCCTTGACAGATTAGCTTCCTTCTTCCTATTGTAACTGCATTGTTAGCTTCTGCCAAGTTTCCAATAGCTACAGGTCCCTTTAAGCCCTCTATCTTCCTAAATATTTGCAGCACTTCATAACATCTGTACATTTCACAAACGCATTCTTTACAGCTTATCAGGATCTTCAGATTGTTACACATAAGGTTTGTCCCAAGACAGCCTCACAACTATTTGCTCTTACAAGTGTGCGCTGCATAAACATACTATGAAGGCCCTGCCCTAGACAGTCTTGGCAATTTTATATGCGGTTACCAGGAGCTCCCTCCTCCACTGTTCCTTTTGCTGGGAGTTAGCAGAAAGGTGCTTGCTGAGAAAAGCTTGATAAGCAATCATTGATTAAATGTCTTGTTGCAAACTTCATTTTGCTTGATAATCGCATAATGTTCACAGTGGTAATGTTCAGACTTTGGAACGTGATGACTTGTCTCCACTTGCAAACTAATGTGGGTTAAGGCAAAGCAAAGCACAAATCTATATCCAAGGGACTACTCCTAAATAGTCGCCAGGGGTAGATAACCTTCAGGGAGAACAGGGACTGGGCCATGGTCTTCCACAGGTTCCCCAGTACCACATCTTACCTAGAGGGTTGTTTTTGGACAGATCAAATTTGCCGATTTCCAAAAAGCGTCCGTGTTGAGCAAGGCAACGTAGACTGGCTTGGAGCTTCTCTTCTGCCAAGGAGTTTAGCACAAGGTCAACACCTGCAAGGGAGGAGTAGTAAGATTATCCAGGCATGCGTGCCCCGCCCTAGTCTAACCCCCTCTCTTGGTAACCTGGTCTAAGCTATAAACAGTACATCCTTGTTGTGTTCCATAGTTTCTAGGGGCGGAAGGGACCTGAGAAGATCATCTAGTCCGACCTCCTACCACGGCAGGAAAGAGTATTGGTGTCAAACGACCCCAGCAAGGTGTTCATCTAACCTCTTCTTAAGGACCCCCAGGGTAGGAGCCTGCACCACCTCCCTTGGAAGTTGGTTCCAGACCCTAGCCGCCCTGACCGTGAAATAGTGCCTTCTGATGTCTAACCTAAATCTACCCTCTGCCAGCTTGTGACCGTTGTTCCTCGTCACTCCTGGCTGTGTTTGGGGGAACAGTGACTCCCCCAGTGCCTTCTGATCCCCCCTGGAGCACTGGGGTCAAAACAAGGTGATTATCCTCCTTCTGAAGGCCCCCAGGGTAGGGGCAAGCACCACTTCCCTTGGAAGTTGGCTCCAGATCCTAGGTGCCCTGACTGTGATGTAAAGCAAAGGGGGCACCCAGACTTGAACTGGGGACCTCTTGAACTGTAGTCAAATGCTCTGCCACTGAGCTATACCCCCTGGCTACATTCCTTCTAGTCCCTGGAGACATTTTCTTCCACCATCAGCAGGTGTCGCGGTGGATGTAGTCTTTCTGGACTTCAGCAAGGCCTTTGACACCGTCTCTCATCCCATCCTAGTTAAACTAGGCGACTGTGGCATAGATGCCTACACAGTCAGATGGATTGCAGATTGGCTGAGGGGGTCGCACTCAGAGGGTGGTGGTGGATGGGTCATATTCGACCTGGGGGGAGGTGGGTAGCGGAGGCCCCCAGGGCTCGGTCCTGGGGCCTGCGCTGTTCAATTTCTTCATCAGCGATCTGGATGATGGGGTGGAAAGTAACCTGTTTAAATTCGCTGATGACACCAAAATTTGGGGGGAGGTGAGCACGCTAGCAGGGAGTGAGAGATTGCAGAGGGATCTGGATAGGTTACAGGGGTGGGCTAACAGGAACAGGATGCGTTTTAATACGGACAAGTGCAGGGTGCTGCACTTGGGCAGTAGGAACCAGCAGCACACTTACACAATGGGGAACTCCCTACTCGAGAGCACGGAGGCAGAAAGAGATCTTGGAGTCATTATTGACTCCAAGATGAACATGGGCCGACAATGCGAGGTCATGGTTGGCAGGGCTAACCGGACCTTGTCGTGCATCCACAGGTGCATCTCGAGTAGAGCCAAGGAGGTGATCCTCCCCCTCTACGCGACGCTGGTCAGGCCACAGCTGGAGTATTGTGTCCAGTTCTGTGCGCCCCATTTCAAGAGGGATGTGGACAACATGGAGAGGGTCCAGAGGAGGGCCACCCGCATGATCCGGGGACAACAGGGCAGACCCTACAGTGAGAGACTGCGGGACCTGAACCTATTCAGCCTCCACAAGAGAAGGCTGAGGGGGGACCTGGTGACCGTCTATAAACTCACTAGGGGGGACCAGAAGGGTTTGGGGGAGACGCTGTTTCCCCTAGCGCCCGCTGGCATAACAAGGAGTAATGGGCACAAGTTGATGGAGAGGAGGTATAGATTGGACATCCGCAAAAACTACTTCACAGTTAGGGCGGCTAGGAGCTGGAACCAACTTCCAAGGGAAGTGGTGCTGGCCCCTACCCTGGGGGTCTTTAAGAAGAGGCTGGATGCCTACCTGGCTGGACTCAGTTGAGTCCCGTTTCTTGTTTTGGGGTTTTGTTGTTCTCCTGCCCTGGCGGGGGGTCGGGCTAGAAGATCTACTAGGTCCCTTCCAACCCTAAATCTATGAAACTATGAAACTATATAAGATATGCTTTGGACCCACCTTTCCCTTTGGTAGCCCGCAGAATATGTTGCTCAAAGGCAGTACTTCTGGAGTTGGCAAAGCTGTTTGCATCCAGCTGGGGGAACTGTGCTTGGAGATGCTTGCGTTTCTCAGTAGAACCTGACAACAGGAGAAGGAACGTATTTTATTTCCCCCCCCCCCCCGAGACGCCAGCAGCACTCCTTGACTCACAAGCAAGATTCCCCTTCCCTCTCGAGGCCTCTGCCAAAGGGATAAAAGCTAGAACATGGGCTTGAGGAACCACTGGACACCTGCTATGGAAGCACTGGGGTTTGACACCTAGAAAGCTTCAGGACAAGGCTAGTGTGTAGCTGCTGCCCCCTCAAGCTGACAGGGAGATCGTGACTCCATTTCTACCAGGAACAAACCAAGTTATGCACTGGATGGAAGTTGCCTTTGATCAACAATCAATTGCTTGGCTTTATTCTTTGTAGTTCCCTGAAACCATCTTCTTGATCCTGAGATGGGGAAAAAGCTTGATGTCAGCAAAACTAGGATGCTAGATTTCAAAAAAAGGTGGATTTCAACCAGCTCGAGGAGACAGTTAACACAGTGCCATGGGAAGACAGGCTAAAAAAGGTTAAAAAAAAGTGCATTAGGAGGGCTGGAAGCCCAACAAGAAAAAAAACAAAACACTGTTCCGACATGACAGACTCACAAGAATGGTATATGTGGCTGTACAAGGAGCTTCTAGGATGGCTCAAAATGAAAAACGAGCATACAGGCAATGAAGATGGGCAGGTCACTAAGGAAGCATCATCATCATCATAATAATAATAATAATAATATAGAACAAACCTGCAGGGACAAAAATGAGGAAGGCAAAGAAAGAATGAGCTGCACCTGGCAGCAATGTTAAGGGCAATAAGAAAAGGTTCTATAAAAGTACTTTGGGCAGAAGAGACAAGGTTCTTTGGGTAGATGTGATATCATTTATTAGACCAACTAAGCAGTTGGAAAAAAATTATTATTTGCAAGCTTTCAGGTACAAACACCCTTTTTTAAGCATAGAGAGAAGAAAGACTGAGGAAGCTATGGGTCCACTGTTTAGCAGCCAGGCCCAACTCTTAACAGAAGATGCAAAGGCACATCTACTCAACAGGTACTTACCTGGGGCATGTTAGGGTGTTACATCTTGTGGCTGTGTTAGGGTTTACTGTGTAGTTTTACTAATAGGTTAGATAATAGATTTCTGTAGGAGGATTTGGATAGGATAGGTCCTGTCTTTAGTAAGGGAGGGGTTGAACTAGATGATGATCTCTGGAGGTTGCTTCCTGCCCTACTTTGTTTTTTTTATGATTCTAAGCTACTTGGAGTCACTCATGGCATGCCCTAGGAGTAAGGCAGAGATTTCCTAAGGTGGCCAGCAGCTGGGTATACCCCATTTCCAGGTACTCTATTACTGGAGGCCTGGGGTCAAGAGCTGATGGGAGAATGTGCAGGTCAGGAAGTCACAGAATGGGGACCTTGGCACTCACCCACAGTTGTGAAGACACGGCAGCCCATGCTCAGGGCTATGGTGATAGCTGCCTGGCCCACACCCCCAGAGCCTGAGTGAATGAGCACACTCTCCCCCTGCTTCAAGCCACCACGAGCGATCAAAGCATAATAAGCTGTGGCATAGACCACAGGCACGGTGGCGGCCTCCTCCAGGGTCCTGGAAAGGTGACACCAAAACCAGCATGAGACAGGACAAAGCACTCATGGTCACATACCTTCAACTGCAAGTCAGAGCAGCCCAGACTGAGCCCAGATCAGCTGTTTTCAGAGCTTACTGGAAGTCTCACCATTATGGAAGCTTCTCCCTCCAGTAACCAACTGATCAATGCTATTCTGCCCCCAGGATACATAGACATAGCAACCAAACCCAAGAGGAGCAAAGTGCAAAATTCCACTGAGGACTGCTATGCACGCAGTGGTGCTCAACTCCTGCAGTGACAGCAACTCCAGTATTTGCAAGCTACAGAGTAGGTTTATCACAACCTGGGAGACTAGTTCTGGATCAATGCAGGATGGAGTCACACCCTCAAAACACCAGCTGAGGTATTGAATAGTAGTTCTGCTCACTTTGAGCAGTATCAGATGTTTTCTCTCACGTTAGAATTCCTTGCATTGACCCACTAGTTGTCCCCTACTGAGACTTTGCACCATGCAGACAGCTGAGGGGTACAACCTGTAGTAAGAAAGAAGGGAAATGGACCCACCAGTTCTCTGGCACATCCCACAGGAAACTACAGTCAATGTCCACCACTGTAGCCAGTCCCTTTGCGTGCATCAATCCCATAACCCTTTTTCCAGTAGGGTCCCGCCCCGAGAACTCCATTCCCATCAAGTTGTCCTTCACAGTCCAGTTACCTAAGAAGATAAAAATCACCACTGTGAAACTCTTCCTGAAAAGCCCTCCTGCTCAAGAGGTCCTCACCATGAACCCTCTTCTGGAAGCAGAGGAGTCTCCTCACTTCAGGGCAGCATCTCCAAAGTCCTGGAATAAGCCTGCTGCTTTCTAGCTCAGTAACCAGCATCTTATTTTCTGCTTTTAAAAATACCCAAGAGCATCAAGTGCCAATGGCCCAAGCTTTTGAAGCACCTCACTTTTGTAGAGCCCCCGATTTGTATTCTCAGTGTTTTAGTCTCTAGCTCCCCACCAAAAAACAACTCCACTGAATCTGCATCTTATTAGAAGGTCTTCTCCCTCTTCTTTGGGGTGAGGGGTAGAGGGGGGGAGGGAATAAATAAAAATAAAAAATCAGGGAGTCCAAGAACTAGAAGTCAGAGGTTAGAAGATACTAAAAAAAGGTCTATGGGGGGGGGGGGGGAAAGAATTTTCACC